ATTAGAGAGCAAACAGCTACATTTAAAGCAACAGTTCACCCAAAAATGACATTTCTGTCATGAATTACTTACTTTTTTCCATGGAACACAACATTAGACATTAATAATGAATCATTAGCCAGCTCTTTCCATACAACAACAGGTTATAGTGACCACATTAAGGAAAAAAAAACAACAACAACAAGAGGCACTTTATAAGTAGCCTGTACAATTTTATTCCAAGTCTTCTGAAGTTAAATGATAGTTTATATGATAAGATAGTCAGTTCTTTTCAATGAACTGTTTGATTAGATTCCCAGATTACTTAAATTATTGTTTTGAATGTATTTATTTATTTTTGAGTTAGTTCTTTTTAATGAATGAGTTGAATGATTTATTCATGAATTGGACTGATTCGATTCTCAAGTTCAATTCAACTGGTATGGATTGAATTGATCATTTTGGTGTTAGTTTGGGATTTTTTCTGTCATTTTTGAAGATTAACAGATGTAGTCACTATGACCTGTTTTTGTATAAATAAGCAGTGCAATGATACTTAAAAAAAAACACTGCTTTTTGCACTCCACAGAAGAATGAAAATGTGGAACAACATGAGGGCGAGTAAATGATGACAGAATTTTCATTTTTGAGCAAATTATCTCCTTAAGGACTAAAGCTCAAAGGTTTATTGTCTTTTCTTCCCCCTTCACCGTGTTTTAAGAATTTTGCACTGGAGCAAGTTGTTTCTGTGGCTCACATTAGAGTGAGATGGTATATGTGTCTGTGTTTTTCTGTGAATAGGATGTGGGTGTCTGTTTTTAGATGACAGTTCTCTGAATTTTTGTTTGTCCTTTCTTCATTGTTTGAGTTCAGAGTATATAATGTGAGGAGGCTGTTTAGTTAATGTGTTCTGCAGAATCATAGGCGAGCAACAAGCTTGACCAGGTCAAACTTTTTGCAGAAAGGACATGTTTTGCTTGCCTCTTCATTTCTTAAAGAGTTACATTGTGGATTGTTTACAGGGTTCCTACACAGTATGGAAAAGTATGGAATTGATTTTAGTAATTTCCACATCTGGATATATATGGAAAAAAAGAAAATAGAGTATTGAAAAAGTTTGTGTTTCCAGATGTGCCCCATTCTGTTTTTCATGAAAGTGTGAAAGCGTGTCAAACATTATCCTATATTTTTAGCTCAGCAGAATTATGAATATTTATACTCACCGTTGCCCCTGTGCTTGGCGAATTTGTGAGCGTCAAAGGTTTCTATTTACAATGTGTTTTTGAAGCGTTGAGCATTGTAGCGAATCACAGCCATGTCTGTTGAGTTCATGTACACAATGGCCAGACATATATTTAAGTTAAGAATCTGCTAAATATTGCTCAAAACGCTCAAGTATTTATTCAGCGCACGCTTTAAAGTTCACAAATCCTTTCATTATAACCAACATTATTTTATTTTTCATGCTCAATTGGAAAAAAGTTTTATTTTTTCATTGCTGCTAAGTACACACTGCACATTTCCGTAATCATATTTAAATGCGGGATTGAATCCGAAATTGCGACGCTTGTCACATTGATAACCATAGCAGCGGATGGGACAAAAAAAATCTGAAAAAAATTATCTTGAAGTATAAATAAAGACTATTAGACTTGTCCCTTGTTCTATATAATGAGTTTTTACTTGACGTTTTTAAAGCAATGTTTACTTAATTGAAAAACATTAGAATAATACATTAAAACATTGAGTTTTAATGTGTTATTTACTTATTATTAGCATTAATAATTAACTAATTTAATTTATTTAATATTTGTAATTTTTTAATAGTTAAATAATATAGTTAGGTAGTTCCAGTAGTTTTTGCTATGGTACCGAGAACCAGGAAATGTTACTGATATTGGTACCGACTAGGGTTGTAACGGTATGAGATTTTCACGGTATGATAATCGTCTCAGACAATGTCACGGTTATCACGGTATATATTAAACAATAATTCTTATCAGTAACAATGACTCTTAAAAGAATAAGAACAAGTTATTTAAGTGAACAAATCCTTTATTACAACAAACTTGAAACCATTTTAATGAAAGTATTGAAGTCTCCCTCCTGAAAAAATTTATTCATTTAATAAAACAATAAAAAAAATCAAACCGTACACCTTATGTATATCTATATCACACTTTAACATTTTAATTAATGTTTTTAAATGAAAATTTACAACTCCTTTTATTTTTGGCAAAGTTAAAACATGGACAAACATGATATTCCTTGAAAACAATGTTTAAATAAATTATTTTATTATAAAGAATATTATTATTGTTGTTATTATAACTTTGAAGTACATTGTACAATGCTAATATATTTCTGTCATAATTTCAAATTAAATTGAACGTTTATTTTGATGGGTTGTAGCGGACCTTTAGTTTCAGAGTGTATTTGACAATGGTTTTTCTCAAATAAAACTAGGAAATGTTTATTTACGTTTTCTCTCAGAGCAGCTCTGCTGATGTTCATGTTTATGTATCTTAGACGCTGAAAACACCATTTATGTATGCGCACTTCAGTATGCAGTAGATAAAACGGCGCCACTCAGAGACATGCAGAAACAAGCAGATTATTCATATAGCAGTCTCTTTCCGCTTTAATATTCACAGACACATATCATAACTACTTTAGATTTATCCATCCATCCGATTACGCGTTTTACGTGACATCCTCTTTATACTGTAAATTCCATGTTCACGACTGCACTAGGATTCCCTCTGTTTCACGGAAATCATACGGCCTTAACTTATAACTTGTTATTAATGCGACATACCTTTATCTGCATGGAGGGATAGTGTCCACGAATATGAGCGAAGATGTTGGATGTATTGCCTGCTTTTGCAGCCACTTTGCGTCCACATTTTTTGCAAATTGGATCCGTCCTCAAGGATTGAAGGTTTTTTTAAATATCCGAAGTATTCCCATACTGCAGATATTAACTTTTTTTCGGCGGCGATGGAGATTAGATATTATCTCTGTCTCTGTCATTTTCTCCGCTGCACATGCGTGTAACGGTAAGGAGCCAAGTGAAGGCAGAGTGAAGCAGCCGAGCGGAAATAAGTTGCATGCGTTTTGCATGTGAGATTTTTTTTTCATTCATCTTTTTTTAAACCGTAGATATGCAAATGTTTACGGTATGATAACCGTGTACATTCAAACCGTGATAAACCGTCATACCGGAATATCGTTACAACTAGGGATGTTCATTTCGGTTATTTTTCCTAACCGACAACCGCCCGGGGATTAATTTTACATACAATGCAATGCAATGCAAACAACAGAACATGAGGATTCACATGCATCACATCACGCACCTGCAGCGATTTTGCGAGCGGATATATATATAATGAATAAATAGGCCTATATGCGAAATATATCTTTACTTAAATAATAAATTAATAAAATGAAAGAAAAACTGTAACAAGTAGCCTAGTATGCAGAGTTTCGGTTCATTTTTGTGCTGCGCGAAAAGAAACCAGACAGCAAATAGCGGCATCCTATTTTTCTTTAGGCTTATTTTACAAAAGCACAACGATTTGTTTTTATTGTGAATGTACACAAATAAAGGCAAACCTTTTACAATTCCGATTATCTTTATGACTAAAAGGAGTAGTTGTTTCCACTGTTAGAAGGAAAAAATGTAAGTGATTGCGCCGGCGCCACACAGTTAAGCTTTGCTACCTTGACAATGCAGCCTGTTCATTATCATAATAAAATACAGTCAGTCAAACATATGGGAAAAAACACACTGCTCAGTTTAAATGTGTAGTAAAATCTGTGCCGTTAAGTGTTATCACCGTACCGCCATGATGTTATGCAAAACATTTTGTTTCACGTGGATATTGGAGCGCGAGTAAAGTAGGCTACATAATAAATAATTTGCCATTCAAATACATCGCGAATACGGAAACATTTGATTTTGTGTCGAATGAGAGACCCAACGTTGGTTTCAGTTTCGTTTTAGCCAAATTAGTTAGTTTTGGCTTGTCGTTTATATTGCTATAGCTTCTTATATTTTTAATTCTTGTTCTTTTCTAAATACTGTTAATTGAAAGGCTTTGTTGTGGAGTGAGGGGAACTAAAATAGCCTAGCTATGTTTACAGCGTTTATTATAATGTTTGTAAACATTTCGCGTCGGCATTAAGCCTATTTCTGAATGAAATAATAAAATGCGACTTCTATGCGACTTGTGTTTTTTTTTCTCTAAAAACAATTTTTTATACGCGTAGCGTGTTTTAACCATGCAGCAAATCTTTTTAAATATTTTGATAAATTAAAAAAAAAATGTTAAAAGATGACTCTTTAAACCGTTTAACTGATTGTATTAATCGGTCAAAATTCTATACGGTCGGTTTACGTTTAACCGGTTAAAATGAACATCCCTAGTTACAACCCTAGTACCGACTACAGACATTTTGGTGACACTAGTTTTTGTGAGAGCATCAAATTGGGAATTCAATATTGGGAATCGAACTTTTAATCGTTACACCCTTAATCATTTATTTTTCATTATGAAATATGGTCCAAAAAATCCACAGAGAAGTCTGGAAATGGAAATTGTGTAGGAACCCTGTGTTGAGCATTATGTAAGCTGCGAAATGTTCTGTGTGGTTTTCAGCTCTAGTTTAGCATCTAATAGTAATTCTGGAGTACAGGTATAGACGAATAATGTTGTGCAGACCTGAGATGTCAGCTCTCATTTCCTGCTTCGCTTGCATTTTGCTGAAATACATCTTGCAAAATTACGATTGTGGAATTGCAGGTCTGTGCCCACAGTCTAAAGATAACTAATGCAATATGGCACATTATTTATTCATTCTCTTGTAATTCTTTTTCTCATTTTCGAAATGAAATGCTGGTTTGATATTCCAGTAGATAAGATAAGAATTGACTATATTCTCTTTGCATATAGCTCGTTTGACTGTAAGAGGTTCACCTCCTTATCTCTGGGTTGTTTGTACCTGTCTTCCAGTAGACGCCGCCGAGGTACTGAGCGCCGAACCCATCGACCTCCAGTGCGTTCCCATGGAGGCCCATTTCTGTCCCGTTCCTAAACTCCTGGTGGCTGCACCAATGACACTGAATCCAGTAAGCCTCTCCCGCAATCCCACAACCTAATCAGACCCATCTCTCATGCAACATGTGCCCAAACAACAGAAAAATGAATGCAACAAAACGTGTGCCTAATCAGTACGTCCTTAACAGGCAATACATTCATCCTCATATCAGAGATTCCCACTTCATTTGACGTCAACAGAGGTTTGTTGATATTGAAACAGGCAATACTTAAGCTTGGACCTACAACTGTTTAAGGAAGCATGCCATCTCGATGCAAGGAGACGTAAGGAGCATGCGGATGCTGAATCAGGAGACGGAGATCTCTCGTAACTCACAGCCATACGAATACATGCAAACCAATTAGCCGAGAAGAATGAATTCTCTGGAGATGAACATTAGATTTCAGAACCGACTTATCTAATGTACGGTTAGAGGTGGAGTCGTTGCAGATCATCAGCAGACAGAATGTTTCTCCGTCGTAGATTGTGAAAACCCAGAGTGTGCGAGAGCGGCACCTAATGCTAATGATATTTTACATAGTTGTGGTGGTGGTAATTTCTTTCACATTTAATTATGATTAATGAACGTGGCACATTTTATTTCATGTTTACATTTCAAAATGTCGAGAGAAAAAAAGGTTATTTGAAAATGATTGATGCTTTTGTAAGATAATCTAATACTGACACTCATGATACTGATTTAGGTTTTTTGTTAAGAGGTTTTTAAAATGTCGTTGTTCGTGCCTTTGAGTTACAAGTTTGTGGACGTCTTTTTCCCCCAGTTGTTCTGTACTCAACTGACTTACATTTTATCACAGACTCAGAAAGTATACCTGTGTAGCCTTTCAGAATCAATGTGTCGTTCCTCCGTCTACTTAGGGATGTGTGTTGTTGTGAGTTTTTCTTGAAAGAGTATTATTTATTTAATGACTGTCCAACAGGCTAAAACTGGTCTACTGAGATAAGTGTTACTATTCATGCCTGAAGTATCTCACCTCGCATTTCAAGCTCCACATCGAGACGGTCAAACAGAAGATTGGTTCACATACTCATACCTCCACTTTAAAAATAGAACTGCTTTAAGCAGACTAAATATGAGCACTTCCTGTTGCACAGTGTGATGCACACTGAAATATAAGGTCTGATTTGAGGCCTTCTGGATGTATAAGATGTCTCATTGAGAAAATTTTAACTGGACTTTATTTTTATTCCAGCTGGTCTTCGTTCTTCAGTGTTTCTTGCATATATTCCTTAACTATCGCCTGATGGCCTGGATATTCAAATGCTTTAAAAAATAGTCATGTTTATTTGCTTTTTAGATTATTAGCATATCGCATTTCTTCAATTACTGGGTGAATTTCATGAAAACAGTCAAAAAAAAAAAAAAAAGATATATATATTCATCCCAAAAGCAGAGAAAAAAATTTGCTGAAACAAATTTTTATGACAATTAAGCACTCCTATTGTCATTGCCAAAATGCAAAAAATCTTACTTTTATGACTGTAATGCACAATAAATAACTACATATACATTATTTTTAAAGTATCATGGTTGTATTTGTTCTCATTCTGTTATATAATATAATACTAAAAACAATTATATTACAAAAAAATGTTTCCTCTTATATAGTAAAAAAATCATTGAGGATAAAAATGATTGTAAAAAAAAAAAAAATGCAGTTGCTCCAGTGCAAAAACATGCAATGCATTACAGAAATGTGGTTTAATTGTCATGAAAATAAAAAAAGAGGCTTCATATTCTTTATGCAAAATCTAATTTTCATTTTTTTTATTTTGGTGTGAAATAAGACATTTTCATTAGACTCACCCTGTTACCATGTCTATCTCTTATAGACAAACCCCTTCTGATGGCTGGACTGTCTCTGCCAAAATCCATGCTCTGCCCCTCCTGCTGTGTGACAGTCTGTTTGTCTCCACTTTTTGTTCAGCCATGTTTGGTGCATCCCTGAGTACTATAAGATCGGTTTTCAGTGTACATTAGTTGCCAAAATTATTCTTTAAACTGCATGTTTAGTGGTTTAAACACTCTGATTGGTGCACATATGTTAAATCCCTATCATTAAAATCACAAGGATATTTGCTAAATCCTTTCTAGAAGTCACACCTGATTTGAATATCCAGTATCTCTCCCAGTTTGCTGTATTCAGCAGCATATGCGACCCCCTGCACAGACATGTCAAGTGCACTGCTTTTGTGCCAGTGACTCTCAGACAGGTCGCCCTGTGCCAATCACTGGAGAACTCAGACTGCACAATAAGGCCTTGACATGCCAAGGTCATGAGCCAGATGGATTTAAATTGCAATATTGCAAATGTGTCCACCCAAGCAACAAATCTAAATCTATTCAAGCAAGCTATTATCTTGTGCTTTGTTTTGAAACATCTCAGTTATTGCTACCGTTCATTTAGCGAGTGCTACAGTTGGGAAACTCACAGTAGGGCGGTTTTCAGCAGCTGTTTTTATTACTGCATCAGTGGAAGCCGTGTGCACCCACTAATAGAGTTCCGGTCTCTGCCAACCAAGAGCTCTATTAGATTATTGCCGTAATACATTATTGATAGTTTATCCATGGAGAAACATGAAAACTGCGTCAGACAGACGAAATCCATTAGGGTCATACTGGAGTTTCTCATTTTCTCATTTCTCATTTTCCCATTTTGACTTTGAGATAGATGGCTGATTGAATTCTAACTATTTAAGTTGTTCTTGTGTTTGTTGTGTTCATGTTTAGAGTGTGAACAGGTTTAAATCACTGACTGTGTCCTTACTTTCAAAAGTCGGCAGACTCTAAAATGCAAGGGCGTAGATGACCGTGTGACATCTGAATATGATCTGTTTGGACTGTGAGCTGTAAGCTCTCATGTAGACATGTTACAATTAAAAGAAAAAAAAAAAGAAATTTTGATTATTTTCAGACTGGGTACTTAGAAAAGGCCCTCATCAGCCAAAGCTTCATTTGCAAGACATTTAACCGCCCCTCACGGGCCTTTACATGCATATATGAATGTGACATTTAAGACAGAGAGAATGTCACGAGAGGTTTTGGATGACTGTCTCACCATTTCTCTCGAACAAAACTACAACCTTTCTCAACATATCAAGGAAGTGAAAGCCTCCCAATGCCATCCACTGTTGATGTACAAACAGACAAAAAAACAAAAAAAAAGCGTTTTTCATCTCTTATCTCAAAGACCCTTCTCTAAACTGTTGTCTCCTTTGGGACAGCCATGTTGTTACAACAGCATAACCCCAAGAGAGCCATAAAGCTGATTTTACGTGATAACCTGACCTAAAAACATCATTGCAACTTTTTTGCTGATCAGCACACACTATCTTGGCCAAACGCAAGTGAAATGATATACAATGGTGGTCTAAACAAGACAAAATCAGAGCAAGATGATACTATACTGTGTTATAACTAAAATAGTATCTGTATTGTAAACATCTCTGTATAATGTTCATGTGTTTTAAGGTTGTTTTAAGAAATACTGGGGCAAATATGTGTGGATTCCTTTAGGGACGATCTCTACTGTTTATTGATGTGTTGGATTGTGTTTTGTAATTAAGTTCCATTGCCCAGCCAAGGTGTAGAAGCTCCTTTCTCTCTGTTTCTGTCTCTTCCTCTATCTCTCTCTCTCTGTCTCTCTCTCTCTCTCATATAAAGAATTATGCCTTCTCCAACTGCAATCCAGCTGGAATCAACGAAATACTTGATAAAGAAAAAACAATGTGCCTCATTGGGGGCTTTAGCATTTTAAGAACTCACTTTTTAAAAAGTGTGCATACCTGCATAAAGTAGTTAGCTAGAATAATCTATGTGTACGTATTACAAACGCATCATCATCGTCATTCTAGTTTTTATCGAAACACATTATTGATCTTCGTAACGGTACCTGTTTTAACTATATCCTCACGACTTCAGTCATGTTACGGTGTGTTGTTTTGACACAGCTGTCAATGGTAGTTTGAGTTTGATCATTAGCGTTACTTGGTTAATTACCTTACATTGTAAAGTCTGTTATCGCATGAAATTAAAATAATCTGAATAATCTACATCATAGTTTGTGCAGTTAGTGGTTTAAGATTAAAAAATTACTTAATCTATATATCTATATATCAGTATACACATTTGTATGTATTACAATGATAGATTCATTGTTACCTATGATAGTAAGTTCTTGTTGCTATGGCAACAAAACTACAACATGGCTACCTTTGTATATCTTAATTGTGAATTTTTTCACACTTCAAGTGAAATAATGTACAACGTTAACTTATTCAGAAAGGGAATGTGTTCTTAAGTTGTCTTGGAAAAAGAGATGATTGACTATTTTGTAAAATTATATATATAAATGTATATATATACAGACTTGTGAGATACTTTATGTCCAAAGGCCCTTTGGAGACATCATACGTTATTTCTGTTTTAATGATTATTATTTTTCTATTGGGGTTGCTAATCACTTTTAGATAAGAACCAGATCTTTACGTAAACAGCATCTGAGCTTTTGAACTAATCTGATGGATCAATTTGGGGGAAAGAGACTTTCTAGTCTCATATTTGGTCCGAGAAGGTTTGGCGATGCATTCGCAATGGTGCATTCCAAAAAACAAAAAACAAAACAAAAAAAACAGTTGGTTTTTATAAATAATGCAGCCCCATGATGTCAGTAACAGGACGGTATCAGCCATAAGTGAGCCCCTGATTTAAGTCTCTGTCCCCCTCTGGCCCACCCAGACTGCACCCCAGCTGTGCTGGGACCTGGTGACTCGCGTCACCCCATTGGTGTACGAATGTGTGTTATTCACCTTGTTTGCACTTATGTACATAATTGATTCAAAATATTCAGAATTTATTTTGAATATACATAGATGAATAAATATATATATATATGTAGAAGAGCAGATTCAAATCAAATGTCTGTATTGTTCGGAATACAGGTAAACAGTTATCCTTTTAAAGGGTCGTCAAAGAGATAGATGCTGTTTTGCTGGGGTGTCGAGGAATTTGTTGTTTGTTCTGTTTGCTAATGCCCTCGTTCTCATCGTTACGCATGATATTGCATTTTGCAGAGAACATGATGTCAAAAAAGGCTTTGTAGTTTTGCATAGCTTACAAAAGCGCGGCGACCTGAGCTCTGCGCCCGCTTGTGTCTGACCCTGAGGTGCGGTTGTGTCCAGAAACCAAAGAATGGCCACCTTGTTTCTCTTGTACCTCTACGTCGTGCGAGTTTCAGGCTCACAGTTTTGTTTTCTGTGTAGTCCCATGGGATGCCATGAAAAAGGGGGTGTAATAACACTCTGCCCCCTACAGGAAGACCAAGAGGGCAGCATAAAGAGCACCTCAGGATCAGACTGCAGCTGGAAAGCATTGCTGCAGGTTATACAAAATAACATATTTCAGTTTTCCGTTTGGTTTGGTTGTTGACGGACATTTTCCATTCTTGTGCACTCACCAAGACCAACAAATAACCTGAAAATTTCACAGGATATCCTCAATCAAAATTGCTCCAAAATCCGACGTGAAATCGCCAGACAGAACACTCTGTTGAAGAAAACTTGTACATTCTGTGCTCTACAGTTGCTTTGGAAGCCAATAATTT